TCTTTTTTTTGAGTTTTTGTTTCGCCTTCCATTGCTTGTCACATTTGACGAATGCTATTCGGTTGCCATTTCCGTATAATTTGTTTTGATGCCTTCCGGTGAAATTTTGGAACATGATATAACACATTCAATATAACAGCATATTGGTGATAGTTATGGTTCACATTTCTTGTTTTGTCTAATGCAAAAGTACATAGAGCAGTGCAAATTTGGAATGTATGTATTGAATGAAGGAGATTGTGGGTTTGTGAGAGCATTTGATTGGTGTGCGGTTGCATTCCGCATTACAACGAATGCATCGCTGTTACCATCAAGTATCATGTTTCTCGTAACTGGTCGCTGCTGTACCCATTCGTTTGCTTACAATTGGCAACGATATTCGTCAATCAATGATATTCCTCAGATGAAGCACATATGGTTGATAACATGGCCAAAGACCATCCAATCGGACCAGGTGATCGAGTGAAACTCGAGGATCGAAAGGACCAGTTCGGCGCACAAGCAGACGATGGACGACTGGTAGTGCCTGGTGGGGAGTATGCAGAAAATGCGGGTATGAATATTGCTGACTGCTCTATGAAAAGCACTTTTTGTTAGCAATTGTGCTGAACGCTTATTCATTCAGCAGAGTCATTTCTGAGGGTATTGGTGGTTTATGTGATTGATTGCTTCAAGCTTACAATAAGTGAACATGATATAACTTATTCAATATAACAGCATATTGGTGGTGGTTATGGTTCATTAGTATGATTGACAGTCCACACGTCCTGTTAGAAACCGTGATACCGGATGATGAAAATTGCAGTTGCCTTCCGCTTTTTTAAAATTTTTACAGTAAATGTTTAATTTTACCCATAGAAGGCTTTTTACCATTCTGTAACAGTGAAAGAAACACTTGTGATGGAAGAGAAGAGAATAATAATAATGATTGTTATTGTTAGCGCTTATAACAGGTTACTGGTAATAGTAATGATCATCAAATATGATCACTTTTCCGATGATCATTTGATCATTTTTTTCTCGTCTTCTATGTCATTCCCCATTATCATCATTCCCACACTGTGATTGCTATGCGCTTTATCGCTTATCTATTCTGAAATCTGTGATCTATTCGATTGGTTCTTCTTGAGCGACTCTAAATTGAATGCTGGGAAATGCGGAAGAAAAATAAATTTTATTTTGTTTTTCAGATGAAGGCGTAGCAGTTAAGTCGCGT